CTTGTGAGACACCCACGGACTGCGGGTGCGCGCGTGCGCGCGAGGGGCTAGGTCTGGACGCACCTAGTCTCTCCAGCCTGGTAGAGAGAGAGAGAGAGATACACACACACACATATATATATATATATAACTAACCTGCCTCTGACCCAGTCGCAAAGGGCGACAACAGACTCGTTCCTTTGCGGGACCATGGACATGGCTGCACGCACTGCGTGGGGAGGGGGGGTTACGACTCTCACTCCTCTGTGCCACAAGCAAGCAAGCAAGAGAGAGAGAGAGAGAGAGAGATATATATATATATATACACACACACACAGGTATTTCTAGGACCTCTATGCTCTATTTGGCCAAGGCTTTGTTGTCCTTTAAATTCGTTAAAATTGCTGTTTCTTCCAATTCTTGAAGGTTTTCTAGGATGTTAAAGATTTTAAGGATTCCAAGGTTTTCACAGGTGTTCACGGATTTTCAAGAATTTTGAAGGCTTTCAGGATTGTAATGCCTTTACAGGCCTCAAACACTTGATCATATTGATAGCACACAATTGTCATTTGTTCAGTTTTTTCCAACCGTTTTCAAAGTGTTTAAGGTTTTTAAGGGTTCTCAAGGTTGTAAAGGTTTTAAGGATTTTCAAGACGGTCTGTGCAGTGTCACAACACGATCGTCGAGCAACACTCCGTTCTTTTTGAGCACATCAAGGTAAGATTCCTTGGTTTGAGCGAAGTCTGAAGGTGACGCTACAGCTCTCTGATCAGGCTGACTCCTCTACTGCGTTGGAAGAAGAAGATGGTGATGCTGATGCTGATGGTGCTGATGATGGTGTTGATGATGCAGATGCTGCTGCAGCTGATGGTGATAATGATGTTGATGGTGGCGGGGATGAGGATGTTGAAACTCACCGTTAGATGCTAGGCACAGGAGAGCAGCAATGCGCTTTTGCGTTTTTCGTGTCGGCCCAGAGTCTCAGCACGCGAAGCTCCGGAGGAGGAAGAGGAGCGCAAGAAGGCCAAGGCCGGCCGAGCGTCGAAGCGTGTGCTTGGAGTCGGTTTTTCAGAGGCTCCTGAGCCCCTGAGCGCTCTTTTACCAAGCTTCTCAGTTGCGAGACGTGGACTTCAGGAGATGAAGGCCCAAGAAGAGGAGGAATCCTTCAAGGGGGCCGGCGTGGGCTTCGCCAAGGCATGAAAGCAGGGGTTTGACGCATTGAGGTTGCGGTTGACAGTTTCGTGCAGGATTTTGATGAAGGTGGGGGTTAGTTTGAGGAGCTGGCGCGTTCCTGTAGACAGGGTGCGAAAGGCTTACCTCAGGAGGCCAGATTGTGGTGTGCTACTTGAGTCCAACCCAGCTCGCACATGCCTGCAGGTCCCTGCAAGCATGATGGTGGAGGCCACGTCGTCGCTCCTTGAAGGGCTTTGGGTTCTGGAGCTTGGCATCTTCTGGGATGCTGTCTGATATATATATATATATATTGTATATATATATATATGTTCTATATGTATATATATATATATATACATATTCTACATGCTGTTTTTCCTGCGCGCTCAGACGGTAAGCAAACTCACGGGCAAGGGATTGCCCGGCTGATCTTGACCCCGGCTGATCTTGACCCGAACCGTTGTCACTACCAACGAACGTGCAAGCCAGTTCTGCCTTAACATGGCACTTACTGACGGAATTCAGGGTCGGGAGGTTTCAGGCTTCGTGCCTGAACGCTCTAGTGAGGCTTGTACTTCAGTTCTTGTGCACCCTGAGAACGGTTGCAGGAGAAGGAAGTCGAGAAGGTCGTCCCCGCGAAGGTAGCAGATGCGCCAAAGGTGCATCTGCAAGAGATTTGTCGTAGGGAACCAGAGATTCCCGGCGAAGACTGGCCCTTCGTGGATTCCGGGCGTTCAGTTTAAGCGGCTTCCGAAGCAGCCTCGCAGATCCTCGGGCCCTAAGCCTAGATCACACCGACGTCACGGTGGGGAAGCCCGTTGAGGCTTGAGCTCTGTCAAACTTCGGCCCGCTTGAGCGCTTGAGCCCCAGCCAGGCTCCCGGCACACCTGGCAAGCGGCGTTTGAGCCAGGGGTCAAAGCGAAGGCCTCGACTCTCGGGCTCTAGGGTTAGGGACGGCTTTGACATTCAGGGTTTGGCCAATGTTGGCAGTCAGAGTACGAGTACTCGCAGCCAGGGTCGCATCATGCTTCTTCTTCCGGTGCAAGCACTGTTCTTCTTGATGCCTCCTCGTGCTATCTCTGTTGGGCTTATTAGCTTCTTTGCCTTATCTGATACCACTCACTTGCTACGAAGAACGGTGCTCAATTTGGTTGATTCTTTTTTTGATTTCTTGCGATTTTCTCGTTGTTGCTCGTCGACCGGTAGCCATTCCGAGCTGCGATTGCCGCATCATGCGTCATTTGAGTTCTTCCGCCTTTTGCACTCCTCGGGGCTTAGGGTTGAGGAGCACGTCATCCCTGCGCCCTGAATACAAAACGGCCTGGTTGCCACAGGAGGGGCTCTCGGCGCAGGTGATGGCCGAGATGCAATGGCCGGTCAAGTAACTTGCGCTTTCCATGCTAGAAGGTTCAGAATTTAAGGCTAAGGTTCAGGGCTTTTCTGTTTTGGGTGTAGAGTTCAGGCTTTAGGATTTGGTTAAGGGCTCAGGCTTATGGGTTAACAGCTCGTTAGCCGTTGATGGATTTCTCACTGCTATCGGAAATCAGGATTTATGTGGGTGTCGGGTTCAGCGTAGTGAAAGTTGAGATACTTTTTTTTTTTTTTGCGGCCTGCATCGTGGATCCTGTTCTGTTGCGGGGTGCACCTACCGAGGTCGATTTCAACAGGCGTTTTTCCTGAAGGCTTCCAACTTGTGTTCGAGTTCCGCTGATGCGGAGCCCAGCAGTTTTAGGAGCCGACAGACCTTACAATTTTCGCGCTCCGCGGCTGCGAAAGAAGTGCATGACCCGAGTTGTTTACATCCGTAGAGGTCCAAGCACTATCTTGGAGCGAAGTAACTTGACACTACGTATGACCCAGATCCAGATTCTCCCTTCGCGTTGCCTTGCATCGTGATCCTTTGCTGGATTTGATTCGCTCGTCCTTACTGGACACGTAGGCCACTGCAACCCTCAGGCCGATCGTGCGTCACTGCAAGCATACTTTCTGCAGCTTCCGCCGCCTGCAGAAGCACTACAGAGGAGTTTAACGCATGTCCAATTGCTGCAGCACAGCAGAGCAAGCCTTATGCCCCAGGTAGCCCTGTTCAGTGGTGGCGTGTTGGCCGGTTGTGAGCTTTGCATACTGGGCCACAGACCTCAACCGACCTGTCCAAAGCGGTTGACGCCAAGCGTACACGTCCCCCAATGGCTGCCCGTGAACTGCTCACAGATGAGTGGTGACGCTGGTGGCTCAGATGTGAGGCTTCGAGTGCAAAGAAGCGACGATTCCGCCCCTTCGAGACGACCTCCCTAGGAGCGCAGCATGAACTTCCGACATGTGGGCTGCGAGCCTCGGAAGAAGGTGCGCTGTCCGACCCGGGCCTTCCAAGTTGAAGTTTCACGGTTTCGACGAAGTCCAAAAGTCTTGTGGACAGCTGTCAGGTGCTGCAGAGTTCAAGGCACTTCACGTCATCTTGCGGTTACTCGCAGCCTAACCCTAGACCCATATCGGAAGGTCTTGAATTGAAGGCCCCCAAGCTGTGGCTTCCAGTCAAGTGGCAGGGGCTGCCTGGTGTCCGTCAGATCTGCCACTGCCTCGGAGAGTAATTCGGACAGCGCGGTATTTGGCCTGATTTAAGGATAAAGGATCCTACCATGCATCACAATGCGGCTCACAGCTCTCAAGATTAGGATTTGGGTGCACCTTCCAAAGCTGGACAAAGCCGACTCTTGCAGATGGCAATACACCGGCACTTTCCTGAACTTTGAACTTCCAGCCTGAAACTCGAGCATCATGCCTACATCCTAAGACCATTCGTAAACATCAAAAACACCCTTCATAGAAGCCTAGCTATCCGAGCGTCGTGCTGCATCATTTAGGTTGCCGTGGAGGTGGTCCCTCCTGCCCCGAAACTGCATGTCTCGCCTCTGGAGATTGTCCAGTCCCCAGGATTTGGACACTTCCTTGTTCGGGCTCTGGCTTATGCGGCTTTTGCAGTGGTCCAGGGTTTTCGCTCTTGGGTTCAGGGCTTCTGGGACTCTTGGCTTTCGGGCTTGTTGGCTTTCTGAATTGCATTCCTTCGAAGCCACATGGTCACAGCACCTGGAGCCCTTGGTTTTACGAGGATCCCCGGGCCCAAATGGTATGGACTCCGTAGAGGGTTGTGAGCCCCAAGCTTGAGCCAGAATAATGCAGGCGACTCCCAAAATGGAAACAAGTCCAAATCCTGAGCACTTGCTGAGTTTGCAGGTCTGCTCCTGTAATATCTGGGAACGTGCAGCCAGGCACGGCTCCCCCTGCTGCAGTTTCCGGGGAGGATCCTTGTCATCTCCAGCCCAGAGGACGCTCCACAGGTTGGGGGTTTCCCGCAGAGAGAGTGAGACAGAGAGAGGCAGAGAGAGAGGGGGTAGCCATTTTGGCTCAAGCCTCTCTCCTTAAGTGGCCCTTTCTCGTTAGGGTCGCGGAGTGCCGCCATTGCTGATCAACACGGAGGCAATCTGCACCGCTCTTCATCCTCATCGCCTCTGACAGGGAGCTGGGTGTGCATTGTTCCCGGAGGGCAACTCCGTGCTGCTCTTTCTGTACTTTGTCAATATCGCCTTCCAGGGATCGGCGACCCTACTCGACCTCTTAGTGCCGACAGTACTTCCCGACTACCTGTACCTCGAACGGCTCCTACCTCTAGATGTGACAGTGGCAACCCGGAGGAGATAGGCTAGTCCGCCTACGTGGGGCCATGGCTTCGACAAGGGAGTGCCTGAGATGCAAAAAGGGTGCATCCTTGGGATTACCCCAACGACGAAGGGACCGTTCTCCTCTACCACGACGACGTCACCAACACCAAGCAGGGGGAGAGCCCTTCTGCGAGCAGTAAATAGTGAGAGAGGCCGCTTTTTCCAGGGGGAAACCCCAGCAAGTGTTTTCCGCTGTCACTGCAGCGAGAACATGTCAAAGGGTTGTGCTGGCATGCATGCTTTCGCTCGTTTCTCTCCATGCCGCGTTTCTCTCCATCCGGCGGTTTGTTTCGCCAGAGGGGGGAACCCCCTAGCTACAAATCTTTGAGGTTTTCGCTGACGGGCCGCTGAGCCATTCTATTTACCCCATGCCGTGCCCCCGCTCCGGGGCAAAACCCTGTTTCATACTGTAACATAGTGAGCTACATGTCTGCTCCTCTTTTCTCAATTCGAAATGCCAGCCAACTTTTCCTTGCTGTCGCCAGCCTGCTAGGGGGGGATCCTCTTCTGTCCAGGTTTCTTTGTCTTTGGTAGGTTCACTTGGCGTTGGGGTCTTTGCTTTGAGGAGCCCTAAACTTGCACAGGCTGTATTTTGCCTTGTAAGTTAGTGATACCACGACCCAAAGGCGATAACCACGGCTGTACTTTACCTTGGGCTCTTTTGTTGTCGCCGTTTTGAAACCAAGTCGCCTTGGTGTTGTGTGCTTCTACTCTCACCACTGGCCCCGTAACATACGGGGGGCTAGGGGGTCTCCCCCTAGTCCGTTACCCTGGCGAAAGAAAGAGAGAGGGGGTAGGCCTACGGGCCAGGGCTTCCCTGGAAGCCCGCACCCCAAGCAAGCAAAAGAGAGACGAGTTTTTCTCCGGAGAGTTTTCACCCTCCTCACGGGGCCCCTAAACAGGGGTCCGCTGGGACGCCTCCTATGCCCCGTAGACAGAAAAGAGAGATTGACACAGAGAGAGGCTCAATGGTCGCAGCCCTCGTTTGACTCTCGCACTTCGCCCGGCTTGCGGGGGAGAGTTCTCTCAGGTGGATCACCGGAGCTTGATCTTCGTGATTCGTGTCCACGAGTATGAATGCGCAGCCCGGTTACTTTTATGATGTCCAGTGTTGGTTCCAGCTGATGGAGGACGACCCAACCCTAGCGGTGCAGAGCGTGGGGGCGAGCTGCAACGAAAACACGGGGATGCAACCAGACTAGGAGGCCAGCAAACTTGGGGACGTGGACCGTGAGCCAGTGCGACGACTTGCCGGGCGACACTACCCTGAACAGCAGCGCCAGCGACGAGGGAGATAAATGGGCCTGTTGGAGGGGCTACGGCGAGGAGGGTGGGCAGTGGGCAATTGCTGACCTGGACGGGGACTGAGCCGCTGAGCCACCCGCGGACGCCAACCACTTCGGCACGATCCAGCCCCTGCCGAACAGCGTGCCCTACTACCAGACCACAGCGTGCGACGATGAAGTACCAGATTGGGAGGGGCGAGTCCAACAGTGACGCGAGCGAACAGAGCGACGACCCGAAGAGCCAGACCTCGACGCTCGTAACAACCCATCTTCCACCTGCTGAACCCTCGCGGCCACCGCCGATTCGGCATGCCCCACCTTCCCGAACTACCTCTCGAAGCCACATCGGGGACACCGAGTCTTGGCGTGCAAAGTGGCGAGCATGAGACATGGCGGAGGACTCGACGACTTCTGAAATTTTCCAACTGAAGGACCCACAAACGTGAACGAGTGCAAGCACATGTTCACTGAGTGAGGCCTGTCGTTTTCCTTTTCGTCTCCATTTCAAGTTTCTGGGCCGAGCCCTTCATTTCGTTCTTTCCGTCCTTTCCGACCAGAATCGTAGAGAGACGATTCTTCCTGCTCCGCTCACTCCGCTCACAAGTCGGGGACGCAATAGATGCCTCCCTTGCACCTATACCACGGAAAGCGTGACCCAGCGTAGAGTGACGTATGGGGGCACGCTGCTCTGCTCTTTCCTTTTGCATTTCTCTGCCGAGAACCCAGCTCGACACAACTTTGGCCGGAGGCTCAGACAGGAGGCTCTGCTGCAGTATATGGTCGGGGGTCATTTTAAGTAGTTCTTGCTGTGTTTCCGACGACCGTTTCCCCCGCGTATTGACAAAGCCTCCTGTGTTTCCCTCAGTCTCACGCCGCCTCAAACTTGGACAAGGGCATAGCGCGGAAGCGCAGGTGGAGGGGAGCATGTTCTCCTGACCCCAGATGCCCAGCAAGCAAGTAAGCAAGCAAGAGAGAGATGGCGAAAGAAAACGAGAGATTAGTCAGAGGCAGATAGGCTTTCATACTGACAGGCCGAGTCACTGTCGAGCTGCATGTCAGTATCTTTCCCAGGAGGAAAAGCGAGTCGAAGAACTCTTCAACGGGGAGGCCGATGCATTGCAGCTTCTCTGCTCGGGTGCAGTTCTCAAGGGTTTAAGGGGCCGATGTAGAGGTTTCGAGGTGTTGGTGGTCCAGCGCTTCGGGCTGCCACGTGATCTTGTTCTAGCTGGTACTGCGCAGTTGCATCTGATTTTGAGGTTTGGAGGCAATCCCGAAATCCGGATTTTGCCGTTTGTATTATGAGATATTGTGATATTACAGGTCACAACAATAGTGCTCGGTGTGGGCCCTTCAGACGCCGGGCTTAGGCAGCAGTAGAAGGTTGTGCAGCCAAGTTTCGATCTGCTTCGATATGCTTCATTCTACAATGCACTTGATCTTGTTTTGTAAGGGCTTTGATACTTGCGACTCAATGATAAAGCTTCTGCACTGAACGGACTCTCAAACGCCACGGCGAAGCCCCAGCTTGAAAATCCGACACTCTATCACTTGATTTGCCCGGGCCCCTCCGTTCAAGGCACTCCTGGGCTTTGATTCTGAGAGCAGGCCGAGTTCGGCGCTGGCGCAGAAAAACAGGTGCAGAGCTTCAGAGCTTGAGGGTTCGCTACTGTGGTTTCGGAGACCCTCGTCCAGAAGCGTCTCAAGGATTTACGCTGCTTTGGAGGGTGGAAGTTCCTAAATTCTCTGCATTTTGCCTGAGGATGGCCTTGATACAGATCGCATCCGAGAAGGCGGACGGACATGTCTTGACAACAGGTTGAGTTCTGTGTTCCAGTTTGTAGTGCTGCAAGTGCTGTAGCACGTGTCTCGGGATGTTGTGGTTCGAGTGGCTGAGCACGCCATTTGGCGACGCCTTCCACCTGCAGTGGCCCTGAAAAGGTATCAACGGCAAGGGGTAGCAATAAGCGTAGTCAATAGCAACCACAGCACAAGTACTGTTCAGGATGTCGCACCTTAGCCTCAGGGTTAGGGGGTCTAGGAAGAAGGCTTTCCGTCCATTCGGATCCCAAACGCTTCTTTTGCAGGCACCCATCAGCGCATGACATGGACCCTCGAAAGCCTTTCTCCCCGCTGAGCCCTGGCTCGGACATGCGGAACTTAACCAGCCCGGAGCCCTCTCTGCGAGCCCAAATAGGTGGCTTGCCTGTGGCGGCTGGGCGAGCTGAGGCACATGGGTGTGATTGCGATGATGGTGATAACAAACAACGAGCATGATGCCGGTGGTTCCGGTGGTGGAGCGGGTCAAGGCGATCTGGATTGTGACAGGGGTGGTCATGGATATGATACTGGTGATGCCGCGATGCGGCGATGCTGATGCGGGTGTGGCTACTACGACTTTTCTTCTTCTTGGCAGCCTTTGTCCGTATCATGCTGTGGGTCTTCTCTTCGCCGGCTCTGAGGCTGCTGACTGTGCATCTCAGTGTTTGAATCGAGCTCTCTGCCCCAGGAGCCTTAGCCCAAGACTGCCACCAGGTCTTTGCCGCCACTGTTAAGGAGACTGCTGGAGGCACTCAACTTTGCTGAGTCCAGGATAGTGCCAAGGCGGCTTGAGGGGGCTGAGGCATACGGGAGGTCGTGCTTAGCCGGCTTAGCCGCTCTCGTGATCGGACATTGTGCAGCATAAACATTTGGTGCTGGATTGTGCGCCATGTAGATTCTGGCTCGGATCTAGGCCCTAGGCCCCGCCAGTCATCAGGCCCTCGATAACAGTGTCGGCTCCCGACACTCGACAGCAGCTGCAGGCCCTTGGTAGGTCTAACTACGCTATATTATCAGCCGAAAAATCTCTGGGTTCATCGCAGCCTGAACTCTCCGCAGGACCGGGACGTTCACAAAGCTTTCCCCTGAGAGATTTCACCTGGATGTTGCTTTTTCGCGGGCTGCCAAAAAGTGTCAGCACCAAGGTCTCCCAGGGAGCTGTGCACGAGCTGAGTGCCTTGAAGGAGCAGTGGGGAATCAACCCCCAGGCGGCTACTTTGTGGCTGTGCAGGGAGAAACACAAACAAACAAGCAGACCGACAGACACACCGAGACAGAGACACAGAGACAAAGAGACCCAGGGAAGTTGAGACGCAGAGCAGAAACAGAGACAGGGAGACAGACCTGTGTGGAGAGCGCCCAATTCACTGCTCGCCCCACAACCGTCGGGGCGCTAACGCGCGCAGTGAGGGGTCGACAGACAGACAGACAGACCGACCGACCGACAGAGAGACAGAGAGACAGAGACACAGAGCGACGGAGAGAGAGACAGAGAGAGACAGAGAGAGACAGAGCAGAGGGCAACCTCTGCCCACAGCCTTGGCGAAAGAAAGAGAGACAGAGAGAGACAGAGAGAGACAGAGACAGACAGAGACAGACAGGCAGGCAGGCAGGCAGACAGACAGACAGACGGAGAGACAGGCAGAGAGACAGGCAGAGAGACAGGCGGAGAGACAGACTGAGAGACAGACAGAGAGACAGACAGAGAGACAGACAGAGAGACAGACAGAGACAGACAGAGACAGAGACAGACAGAGACAGACAGAGACAGACAGACAGACCCAGACAGACAGAGACAGAAACAGACAGACACAGACAGACACAGACACAGACACAGACACAGCTTGGATGGCAACGTT